CGCTTAATCACCAAGTGTGGCATGGTGTGACTGCTGGCTCTTCTGCAAAGTCAAGATGACCATGAAAGGTAAACATTTTTGATTAATTGAAGACATCACGGCACCCAGGACAGAGCAACTACAGACAGCCAAGAAAAAAGACTTCCAGAGCTGCTTCAGAAAGTGGAAAGGACACGATAAAGGCATTTGAAGCAAGGAGGAGTATTCTGAGGGGAACTAATGACAATATGTCTTTTACTGTAATAAATTTTTTAAATGTATACATTCACTATATTTTTCAATCACCTCACACACCCTAAACTGCTCCTCCAGATAACTTAACCCACTCAGCACACCTACAAGTAGGTGTGAAAGTTTCAGTTTCCACTTGTCCTGTGATTATTCAAGATTTCTCAATTTTTGCAGGCTTTTCAGTTCATGTTTTTCTAATGAACTTCAGCCAACTGGACTGTTCCTCCCATGAACTGCTTATATTCTTCACCCAACACTCGGGGATTGGATTTCCTGTGTTTTCCTCCTGATTTGCAAGGCTGCCCTATGTACCCTGTACGACAGTCCTCTATAAGTTACACACAGGAACCACCTTCTCCCAGTCTGTTAACTGTTAGCTCTGTACATGGAGTCCTTTGCTAAACAGAAAGCTTTAATTCTGAGGTTGTCAATACACTGATTTCTCTTTTCATCATTTTTAGTTTTAGTGGCTGGCTATAAAAAAAAATGTATCCTTAAGTCAGTCACAAAAGTTCTATAGTTTCTTCTAAGAGCTTTATAATTTTGCCTGTCATACTTAAGCTTTTAATCGATCTGAAGTTTATTTTTATATGTGATGTGATATAGGGATTTAATCTCAACTTTCTCTATATAGGGACTCTATTTTCCCAGCATCATTTATTAAACAGTTCACCCGTTCTTCCCTGCTTCTTTTGATATCAATTTATCATATATTAAGTTCCCATATGTGTACTGTTTATAGATTCTGAATTGTTTCACTGGTGTTTGTGTCTCTTTCCTACTCCAGAACAATACTGCTACAACTAAACTCAAATACAATGAAAGGGCCAAAGGATCTTACATACACAAAAGTGGATATGTAACCTTCTGGTACTATCCATGACAGGTAAGCAAGCCTCTCTGTAAAAGGCCAGAGAGAAGGTGTTCTAGCCTTGCGGGACACAGGATCTCTGCACGGTTTCTCAGTCCTGCTGCTGAAATATGAGGGCAGACATGGACCATACACAAACAGACTTGACAACACTGCAATAAAAGTTTAACAAAAGTAGGAACCAGGCAGGATTTTCGCCATGGGACATATTTTGGAAATCAGTGGTGTAGATAAAAGTCAAAGATATACTCACAATACTTCATCTAAAACTTTTGTTACAAAGAAATATTTAGCATGCAAACATGACTTAGAAGCGTTGCCTTTCACTTTATCTCATAACACTATTTGATACAAAGTTTTCATGTGTGTCTCCTACACCAATGTCTCCATCATCACTAAAGCAACTCATTGAATCCAGTGTTTTCCAGAGTGAATTTTCTTTACATCTGAACTATATGGGATCATGGAACTTTTTAAAATCATGTTTACTACTATTGCTGGAAATTTTATTCTCAGCCATATAACTTTTACATTCTGCTGATCTTGGAGTGTATTCTCACAATCCCTACAAACATCAGTTACCTTACTACTAGAAAGAATCAAGGACTCAAAATAGAGCAAATTCTTTCCCTTAGAGGGATGACATAAAGGAAAAACACATATGTTCTAGTGATTAGGTTTTGTAATTTGTTTTGGTGTCTGCTTCTCTTCATAAAAAACTATTTCACTATTTATGAAACTTTTCCTTCCATGTAAACACTACAGACCTTTTATTCAGCCTCTTTGAAAATCACAGGGATTTTTTTTAAATCCTAGGATTTATTGAAATTGCATTATATTTATAGATTAATATTAAAATACATAAGATCTTTTCAATAAATGAGAAACTGGACAGATAGAGACTGAATTATTAACTAGGCTTATTATTTTTAATATTTTAGGTAGCTGAAGTACTTTACTTTCACAAATAACTACAGTATTCTCCTCCAAAGTAACAAAAAATAATGGCATCAAAATGTATGTATATAGCAGCACTATTAATAGCCAGAAAATTAAAAACAAGACCAAATGTCCACCAATAAATAAAGAAAATGTAGTATATTCATATACTAGAGTACCACATCACAATAACAATGAAATATAACTACATGCAATCACATAAATGAATCACACAAATACTGCATTGTGCAAAATAAGACAGAACCAGGGCCAGGGATTTAGCTCAGTGGTGCCACTCCCTGCCTCGAAAGTACAAGGTCCCAAGTTCGACCTCCAGTGCCAAAAAGAAAAAGATAGAACCAATAGAATACATATGGTATGAGTTCATTTGTTCAAAGTCTAAATAAAAATAGACAAAATAATAATGCTAGATAGAAAATAGTGTGATATGCAGACGTCAGTACAAAAGTCCCCCTTGTAGCCTGGCATGGTGGTGCACATCACTAATCCCAGCACTTGAGAAGCCTAGGGAGGAGGGTAACTGTAAGTTCAAGGCCAGCCTGGGCGCCACAGAAAGACCCTGTCTCAAAGAATCAAAAATAAATAAATAAATAAATAAATAAAAATGGCCCTTGTAGATGGGAGGCAGTCTGCCCAGGAAATGTACCCTAAGGGCTGGCTGGGTTCAGTTTCTTCATTTTAGTGCCGCTTTCCAGATACTTTCACTGTCCAACAATTCGATGAAGCGTAGTTTCAATTTGTGCACTTTCCATTAAATGCTTTTTGTATCAATAAAAACTTACTTAGCAATAAATATTTTGCTGACTTGACAAATTTTTCTAAATAGTATTTTCTAAGTAATCCATCTCCTATAATTTTTATTTATAAGCCACAATTTAATATGGTTCCAAGGTATGTAACAGATGTAATCAATTCGAGATTATTCATATTGAATACTGTGTCATACCTGGAAATATGTATGCCCAAGAATTTCCTTTATCATTTCAAAACTCCTTATCAACTGCTTTGACTAGTCAAACACCAATAAATACAGAGTCTATAGGAAAACACTTTTGTCCAGATCAACCCCAATCCTCAGAAAAGGTAGAAAAAACAAATGGAATTTTAAAATTAAAATTAAAGTAATAATATTCTCTAAGTCCCTACAATTCCCATCACTCTTTGTTCTCCTAAACCATGAGAGCAAAACTTTTGTGGATCCATTTGCTCTCTCCTTAAATTATAACAGCCTGCGCTGTGTGTTTTGTAATTTCACCTCTGATACTTGATTCTGCTCTATGGACAGTTAATATCAGTAAATACAGCCAAGGAATCGAGGTGATACACTGTCTTATCAGCAACAGACAGTCTTTTAAAGACATCCTCCTAAGCAATTCTCTATCATTTGAAATCTATAGATTTAGGCTTCCAGAAAACACATGAAAGAAAAACTGCCCTGTACTCATGACAGAAAAAACTACAATAATCATTTTAACAATTAGCACAAAAATAAAATTTTAAATAAAACAATTAGCATTCGGTAAAGATTCCAAAATGATGCTTTTCAGATTCATGTTTCACAACTAAAATTCCCTGGGCTGTTGGAAATTGCTTTATCAAAAGACCTTAAAAAGAAGGGTCTTAAGAATCCTCCAGCATAAACTCTATAAAAAAATTTTTTTTAAAAAAAGAATCCTCCAGAAGCACATGATCTTTGGAAAAAAAAAAATACCTAATCACTGGCTCTTGGATACAATTAATGACAAAACAAGGGAAAGAGCCTCTTCCCAAGTTAAAAAAAGAGGATTGATTTTCTGAAATTTCTACTCCTCCTTTTTAAGATTGCTTTGTTTAGTGTTAATCTTATTTATTTTTGTACTGTACAGTGATCAAAGTTTTCTCAGTATGTTTTCAAATATTTTCATTATTATCATCCTTAATCTATTTTAGTTTTTCACTGCCACTAAAGAGAAGGCAAAATTCTCCCATAATCCCACTAACAAAATTTAATAGTTGTTCCTTTTAACATTACAAATAGCTAATCCCTTTAACCTGGGACACTTCTGTATTTGGATTGCTTTTACATTACTAACCCTCACCGTCAGTCCTGTCTATCTTAATAGAAGCAACAGTACCAGGATGGGACTGATACTGGAACTATCCTTGTTGCAACAGCTATATTTTGACAAATCTTCTTTTGGCCATCCTAAAACTTCCACCTCAGGAAATGAGAATCAAATCTATAATAACTATCGTTGATGCCACTAGCAATCACTATATAGAGGTTGTCTCCTTTTCCGAGCTCATGTTAGAAGCCCTGTAACAAGTCTAGGTCAGTGTGCAAGAAACAGAAGTAAACTGTCATTTCTGTCTTGTGCAATTAAATGTGAGTTAATTCTTTAAATCATTAATAGATTAAAAAGAAAAGAATCAACTTTTTCTAATGTTTCAGGTCAATGTGAAAATAAACTGGTATATTTCCCAAATTATATTTCATAATCTTATGAAATGTTCAATGAAAACAGGATTCAGTGGTCAAATAAATTTAATAAACAGCTTATATTCTAATACTCTTGCAGAATATTTAGGTTCTCAGAATTATTACAATTTTTAAAAATAACCTTTCCAAAACTATTTGTCCAAAGACTGAATTTAGGAGTTAATAACTCTTAATGCCTTCTAGAATTTTAAAAAACAACAACAACAACAACACTCTAGAACACATTACATTATTGGAGAAAGATATTTTACTGAACAAATATGCTTTACATTGTTTATTCTAAAATTGGGAATCACCTCTTCTTTTTTACTGTCCTATAAATTATCCTTGTTTTCATTTTAAATTTCCATGAGTTGATTAAAGGCTGAAGCATAAACTGTAGCCTAACAATATTACTCTCATACTTTTCAACACCCTATGCTATCAGAGATAAAATTTAGTCTATGCAGATCAGCTTACTTACGTCTGGGGCTCCTTTTCATTTTGTTGTTTTTGCTGGGGTTGAAGAACGTTATTTACCAGTTCAGTGATTCCACTAAAGGGAAACCACCTGTTTAAATAAGCAAATAATGTGACTGAATAACCAAATGAATAACAATGTAGGTTAAATGTTTTCTTATTCATAATAATAAGAATACACAGGCACAAAAGCTACAGCCAATGGAAATGTGAGCTCCCAGTACCATCCAGGCAGTCAGAATATAGGAAAATTAAGTTTGAACAATTAAGTAGTCCACAAGCAGGCAGCAAAAAACTACATCCAGTCACTATGTGGATGAAGTAAGAAGCTGCAGGCAGCTCTCTTACAAGCAGAGAGTCAGAAAGCAGAAGACACACTAGCTGCAGCCTATCCAGTATTAGTGTAAGCTAATACCGTCGAAGGTGCAGGAAGCAGAGGTGGGGAAGGACAGAGGTCTACTGCACTCTCAGGACATTTACTCACTGTGTCGGTTGTGCTTTGGGTTCTTCTTTGGCCCTAAAAAGATAAGTATGCACAACTGAGTGCACTTTACTAGGAATAAATTTCTATCTACAGATTTTGGTCACATATAATAGATGTGAAAAATGAGGACTGTTACATGGAAAAACTTAGTACTTTGCCACATAATTACACACATTTCAATTTGTCACCCAAAAAATTAATCATTTGTTCTTACATTGAAACTCTACTGCTATTTTAAAACAATGATTTAGTCCTGAAGTCTTACGCCCATTTTTTACTAATACTGAAAATTTTTAAATAATTATTTCAAGGTCTACATTAATCACAATTTTATTTAGATAATTTAGATTTTCTTTTTATTTTTTTATATTATTTTCTTTCAATACATTGACAGAACAGTGGGACCATCCACATGTGCCTCCACCAGCAGGACCACCAGCTTCCACCCAAGTGAGACTTCACTGGTGGGACCACCCCTGAGGGCCATCAGCACTGGACTACCTGCAACGGTGAAGGCCAGACCCAGACAATGATGGAAAGACCATCATTCTGTGCACCGGAGTGGTGAACAGCAAAGAAAGGGCCTCTCCCTTTCTGTTGTTGAGAACTGAAGCCCACAAGGAGAATGAAGAGAGTCACTATACTAAAGATGCAGTGGACTACAGTGGTTAGTGAGTGGGAGTGGGATCAGCACCTCCTACCAGGACCCGGACTCACTGGGGTAGAGGGTCAGCTCAAACCTGCAGCAGAACCATACAGAGTTCAAACCCACTGGAGGTCAGGGAGCTCAATTCTAGCCTCACAGCCAGAAACCATCTCAGGGGACTAGAGCTGGCTCACTACGATTAATAGACTTGGGTCTGCACACTGCTGCCAATACTGTCTACCAGTAATAGCAGAGACCTGCCTTGAAGGGGACTTTTTTTCCCCCTTTTCTTCTCCTTTCTTCTTTTTCTTCATTTTTCTCCTTTCTTATTCCTGTTTTTCTCTTGTTTATCTTGATGGTTCTTATTTCTATGAGTATGAACACAGTCTCTAGTTTTCCTCTTCCCATTAGTTTGTTCTGTTATTTTAGTTTCTTCCTTCTCTCTTTTTCTCCTATCTCCACCAGTTTCCCAAAGTTTATGTGATCTTCCTGTGTCCTCTAGCCCTACTTCTAACCTTTCCCTCTCCTTCTATTTCTCTATCCTCCCTCCAACTCACTCTAAATCTTCTTCACAGAGGGTAAATTTGCTATACTGAAGGGCTTATTTACTGCGAACATATTTCTGATTGGTCTTTGATTGTGACAAATAACTACAAGTCTAGTTCATGTGGCTAAAGGTGACAGATTAATGATTGCCACAATTTGTTATTTTCTAAGCAGAGTTTGATGCTATCACTGATGCTGACTGTAATACTTTGGCCAAGGTGATGCAATTGTTCTGGTCAGCAGTCCTTCCTGGGATACCGAAATCAAGATTGCCTAAGGGTCATTACAGACACAAAACTCAAAGACCAGCTATACCTGGAAAACACCTCTGAAAGGTAGTCATTCCCTAAGAGTTATAAATACTAGAAATAAAATACTCACAATAAGCAATATACAAGTATCAACCCAGGAATTAAACCAAAAACATTAACAACAACTACAAAAATGAGAAGACTTCTAAACAAGATACAAACCCAGACTTGCAGCTCACCAAAGGCAAATTAAGGGAACAATAAGGTGGAACAATTCAAAAGCCAACCATCTGGACTCCCTGAAATAGTAACAAGATAAATAAAAAACAGATGAAAAAGGCTCTGGAAAAATTAAGTCAGAAATTATTTCCCAGATAACTACAGAGATGGTGACCATGATAGAATGATAGATATGCGTAGTGACTCTAGAACAGATACAGCTTTTTTTTTAAATAGAGGAGAGGAGGAACATGATGAAAACCATGAACACCCAACATAGGAACAAATAGAAACCATGAACAACCAGAATAGGAAATAAATGGAATCCATGAAACAAATTCAAACAGATATCAGGCGAATAAAAACTCCACTGAAAGTATATGCAACAGAATGAGCCAATGTGAGGACAGAATATCAGGTGTTGAAGACAAGATTTCGATTAGTGATTATACACTTGTTTTTAGCCAAAAGGCCAAGAAGCAATGGCTAGTGATTATAAAAAGCAAAAATAGCAAGGGACCATGAGAAATTGATTCAGCAGCTGCTAGATGATGCAAAGAAGAATATCATAAGATTGATGAGTTCATGAAAAAGCAGGAGATAGTGCAAATGACACTTAAAAAAAAAAACTGTTCACAGAAGTAATGGAAGAAAACTTTCCAAGCAAGGAAAAAGAGTTTGACACACAGGTAAGTGAGGCATACAGAACTCCAACTAGCCATGATAAAAAAAAAATCTACACCTAGGCATATAATAGTCTAGATTCCAGAAATCCAAAAGAAGAACAAAATATTAAAAGCAGTTAGAGAAAAGAAACAAGGAACAGGCTGGGGATTTAGCTGAATGGTTCTGCTGCCTACCTCACAAGCTCAAGGTCCCAACTCTGATCCCCAGTACCAAAAATAAATAAATAATAATACTACTACTAATAATAATAACATGCAAGGAAAGCCCATAAGAATCCCAAGAGACTTCGCAACAAACCCCCAAGTCAAGAAGAGCCTAATGTGAAGTATTTCAAGCTCTAAAAGCAAACAACCTCCAACCCAGATTGATGTACCCAGCAAAACTATCTTTCAAAACCAATGTAGAAATGAGATGCTTTTACAACAAAGAACACCAGGAACTTCATGAATACCAAATCAGCACTCTAAAAAATTCTAAACAGTATCCTAGAAAAAGACGGTGACGACCACAACAATGAACCCCAAAAGAAAGTAGCCATCAGGCAAGGCAAGAAATTAAAGTGAAAGGGGTTAAAATAAAAGAGCCAACAACAGGAACATATTATGACATTGATAAGTCAATACATATCAGTTATAACCATCAATGTTAATGGTCTCAATTCACCAATCAAAGAAATAGACTGGCAGAATGGTTCAAGAAGCAAGATCAAATAATAAGCTACATGCAAGAAACTCACTTAATTCAAAAAGAAATTCAGAGAAAGAGAAGAAAGAAACAAAGAGAAAGAAAGAAAGAAATTCACAGACTGAAAGTCAATGGATAGAAAACAATACTTCATGTAACAGGAACCCAGAAAAAAGCTGATAAACTAGATCTCAAACCAAAACTAATTAAGAGAGATCAGGTCACTACATCTTTGTAAAGGGAATAATCCAAGAGGAAGATTTGGCAATCATAAAGATATATGCACCAAATACTAGTGCACCCAAATATATAAAATATTAACAGACATCAAATATTAACAAACATTAAAAATCAAATAAGCACTAACACAATAGTAGTGGGGGACCTCAATGCCCCACTGCCACAAATAGACATATCAACTAGACAAAAAACAACAACAACAAAATACTAGAACTGAACCAAACTTTTCAACAGACTTACTAGATATATACAGAGTGTTCCAACTCACAAAATCAGAATATACATTCTTCTCACATGCATGTGGGTCATTTCCCAAAATAAACCACATGCTAACTCATAGAACATGCTTAAGTAAATGCAAAGGAGTTGAATTTATCCCTTGTAAATTGTCAGACCACAGTGCCATGAAATCGGAGATCAGTAGCAAAAGAAACCACAGCACTTCATAAACACATGGAAATTGAGTAATACCCTCCTTACCAACCAATAGGTCACAGAGGAAATTAAAAAGGAAATTAGACAGTTTCTACAATTAAATAATAATGCCAATACAGAAGTCTTACAGGCAAAATTCATAGCAGTGATGCTCATATTAGGAAAAGAGAGCAAGCTCAAATAAACAGCATAATGCTGAACATCAAGCATCTAGAAAAAGAAGAGCATGACAAACCCAAAACTTGTACAAGGAAGGAAACTGTAAAGATCAGAGCAGAAATCAATGCAATGGAGACTAAGAGAACAATACAAAAAAGTCAATGAATCAAAGAGTTGGTTGTTTGAAAGAACAAATAAAATTGACAAACCCCTAACCAAACTTATCAAAAGAAAAAAAAAACAGAAAAGAAAAGGCTCAAATCCATACAATTAAAATGAAAAGGGTGAAATTATAACAGATCCAGCAGAAATCCAAAGGATCATCAATACCTACTTTGAGAACCTCTAGTCCAATAAGATGGGAAACACAGAAGAAATGGACAGATTCCTAGATACTTATGAATTAACTGAAAACACACCAACAAAGAAAAGTCCAGGTCTTGATGGCTTCACTGCTGAATTTTACAAGAAATTTAGAGAAGCTCTAATGCCACTACTTCTCAAACTCTTTAATGAAATTGAAAGAGAAGCAATACTCCCAAACTCATTCCTGGAAGCAAACATTACCCTGATTCTGAAAGCAGAGAAAGACTCAACCAAAAAAGAGAACTAAAGGCCAATCTCCCTAATGAACATAGATGCAAAAATCTTCAGTAAGATATTGGCAAACAGAATGAAGAAGATCATCAAGAATATCATATACCCTGACCAAGTGGGATTCATCCTAGGAATGCAAGGTTCAATATACATAAATCAATAAATGTAACATACTACATTAACAGAGTCAAGGACAAAAACCACATGATCATCTCAATAGATATAGAAAAAGCATTTGACAAAATCTAACACCCATTCATGAAAACCCTACAGAAAACTGGAACAGATGGTCTTTATCTCAACCTGATAACAGCCATCTATGCAAAACCAATAGCTAATATACTAAATAGTCAAAAACTGAAATCTTTCATGTTAAAATCAAGAGCAAGACAAGGATGCCCACTATCACCACTCCTCTTCAGTATAGTTCTGGAAACATTAGCCACAACAATTAGACAAGAGAAAGAAATAAAAGGAATAAAGATAGGAAATGAAAAAATTAAATTGTCATTATTTGCAGATGACACAATACTCTACATAGCAGACCCCAAAAACTGCACCAAAAGACTTC